TCCATGTTAATTTTGTCAACTTGAAGCCATGGAAGGAACCTGCATTCCCGCTTCCTGGAAAACCTTTATTAAAAGGAATTGGGCTGAATATCTAATTAGTCGGTTGCCAACCTTTTACAGATACGAGATCTGGAAGAATGCCCTCGCTAATGGCGTTGTGTTTTGGTGTGAGAAACGAGTTAAGGTATGGGCCCCGGGATAAGTAGTGTGACATGGGTTTCGTCTTTTTTGTAAAAGAATTTTTTTCTTCATACAAGGAGAATATTCTCCATATGAAAAGTAAGATTGGTTTTGTTGGTGTTCCACTACTTTTTTTTTGTCCCATGCTACACCACCTTCGTACAAAGATCCTTGACTAATTTTGGTTTTCTTTTCTGTTCACAAAATAGACTACTAGTTTTGCTCAATACTACGTGGGCCAATGGCCACGCTTTTTATTTGAGGAGCAAAGTGAAGGCACTTTGCTCTCCGAGTCCAGTGCTTGACATTTCCTTCTACCTTTTTAATAGGTATTAATACTATTAATATAATTTTAACAGAAAACTGGTTGTCAGCCGGTAGTGTAAATATTTTGTCGGAATGCATTATTGAAACGGCACCGTTTCAAGTTAAAAATATAACCCACTCCAAATTTACTTTTCTCGTCTTCAACTTTCCCCAGTTTCCAGAAATTTACAAACCCTTAACATGAATTCCTTTCTTTGTATTCTTCAAATTCACACCAATAACCTCATCCCCTTTTCTTCTTTTGATTTGCCCATGTTTCTCTGCATTCAAAAACCCTCTATTCTAAAACCCTTTCTTGCAAATTCTCCTTCCATCCTCCCGACGCCATAGCCGCTCGAGTAAAAGCTTAGCCGGTTAATCGGAGGCCTGAACTGAAAAGATGGCTATGTCAGAGTGAGATGAACTCGGATTGTTTCTCTCCATTTAGGACCTTTGTTGTAGCGTTGTAAAAACCCTCTATTTTATCCTTTGATTTCCCTAATTCAAATATATCTTCCATTTCAACTAGAAAACAAAGAAAGAAAGGTTGAAGAGGGAGAGATCGATGAGGAATCAACAAAGTTACCACCTATGATGTTATATTCAAATAATGTTGTTTTTCAAGTAAATGATTTTTTTTTTCAAGAGAATGTCTTCTATAACTGCTTTCCAACATTCCTCATCCTTGGAATTTCTTGGGGAATTTGTTATTGTTGAATAATATTCAACACTGCAGGGAGTGATTATTTTGTAAAATTCGTGTTGAACTTTTAGAATTGGGTTAGAACTTGGGAATTGGTTTTTCATGATTCTTTGCAAACTTATATAGATGGTTCTAGAATCGAGGGTTTTTGAATGTAGAAAAACAGGGGCAAATCAAAGAAGAAAAGGGGATGAGGTTATTGGTGTGAATATAAAGAATACAAAGAAGGAGTTCTGTTAAGGGGTTGTAAATTTCTAGAAACAGGGAAAGTTGAAGACGAGAAAAGCAAAATTGGGGTTTATTATGTTTTTAACTTGAAACGGTGCCGTTTTAATAATGCATTCCGACAAAAAATTTACACTACCGGCTGACACCCAGTTTTCCGTAATTTTAATTGTAAAAAAAAAAAAAATGGACCACTAGTTTTTTGTATGACGTCATAGCTCGCCACAAAACCCCACCATTGTACGTGTTAAGTATGCTACGTACTACTTTTTTGTCCCATGCGGTCCTATGCCACCACCTTCGTGGTAAGATACTACGATGTCCCCACCCCAGCAAAGGAGTAACAATTTCCATACAAAATATGCCCATGCTTGTGGGTGCAAATGCATCATTATAGTGTTGGCATTAGAACAACTTATACAAAATTTTATATTAATTATTGTTATAAAATATTCATATTATAATTATATTGATTGAGTTTACGTTATAATTGATTGATATAATTAGGTTAATTAATTTTGTATCATAAAATATTTTCTTTTACAAGTCTATAAATAAGTACTTTGTATATTTAGTGAAATCAAGAAAGAAAGAGTTTTTTTCTTCATATATCTTTATATTTTTCTTCTCTTTATATTTCTATCATGATATCGTAGCCTTGAGGCATGTTTTTTTTAACTATTATTGTTCATCTCCTTTGTGAGTTGCTGCTTTGCTTATAAGTGGTGCCGATCATCATCATCTTTGCTTTCTTTCTTGGACTTATTTGCAATTGGGTTTTTTTATCCTGTTCCTTTGTTGTGCCGATAATACGTGTTACTCCCATGGCCAGTGTCACTCCAGCCTTCTCACATCCAATTGCTACTAATTTTGCTCTTGATTTCTTGCAATTGAACTTTTGATATTGCTGTTGCCCAAATCCAATATTGCCTCCTTCTCCTCCAGTGGTATTGATTGCATCAATTTACATATTCAGTATGCAGATCTTTTCACCAAAAGCTCACTTTCCTAGATGCTTCTGCACTTTTCTTGTCAAACTCAAGCTAGTCTCATCATCACCATCTTGAGTTTGAGGGGGAATGTTACAGAATATTTATATTATAACTATATTGATTGGGTTCACATTATAATTAATTGATATAATTAAGTTAATTGATTTTGTACCATAGAATATTATCTTGTACAAACTTATAAATAAGTACTTTATATATTTAGTGAAATATCTTTATATTTTTCTTCTCTTTATATTTCTATCAATTATTAATTTTATGTGTTAATGTATCACTTTATGTATTAAATTTCAAATTTAATATTTAATTTTTTAAAATAAAATATAATTTAATATCTTTAAACAAATAATATAAAATAATAA